TCTGCTTGCCTGCCTGCAAGGACCAACAGTGAAATTTTTGTTCCACTTTAAAAGATTTCACAGGTGTGACTATATTTACGCATTAAAATAAACTTTCCATTTAGTTATTTCAGTCTGTGCAAACATATTTTTTCTAAAGCTTCTGATTAACCTCTTCGCTGCCAGGCCCTGCACTCCACTCCAACTCAACCGGCGGACCATTTTTGCAATTTTTCCATTACTTTTTTATTTTTCACTTACAGCTTTTAGAGTTTGTAAAAGACCACCCAAACCATATATTTTTTCCGAAAAGAGTGGAGGAGGTCAGCAAGTTAGCAGGGGGTGGGGTAGGCTTCCCTGAAGAGATGGGTTTTCAGGGTGCGCCTAAAGGAGAGGAGAGTAGGTGATAATCTGATGGGTTGGGGCAGGGAGTTCCAGAGGATGGGTGACACCCTGGAGAAGTCCTGGAGGCGGGCATGGGAGGAGGAGACAAGGGAACTAGAGAGAAGGAGGTCTTGTGAGGAGCGGAGTGTGCGTGCTGGGCGGTACTTGGATATTAGGTCAGTGATGTAGTTCGGGGCAGTATGGTGGACAGCTTTGTACGTTAGTGTTAGGATTTTGAATTTGATCCGTTGCGCAATCGGAAGCCAGTGGAGGGATTGGCAGAGGGGGGTGGCGGATACAGAGCGGTTGGAAAGGTGAATGAGTCTGGCAGCCGTATTCAGGATGGACTGAAGCGGGGATAGCCAGCGGCGAGGCAGGCCAGTGAGGAGGGAGTTGCAGTAGTCGAGTCGTGATATGATGAGGGAGTGGATGAGCTGTTTAGTGGTTTCTGGGGTTAGGAACGTGCGGATTTTGGCGATGTTGCGGAGGTGGAGTCTGCACGAGTTTGTTAAAGATTGGACTTGGGGTTGAAAGGATAGGTTGGAGTCCAGAATGACACCAAGTACTCTGGCCTGCAGGGCGGGTTTGATGGTAGCGTTGTTGGATGTGACGGAGAAGTCAATGGGGGGTGGTGTCCGGGCTGGGGGGAAGACAAGAAACTCGGTTTTGGAGAGGTTCAATTTTAAGGAAGTGGAGCGACATCCAGTCTGATATGTCGCTCAGTAGGTGTGTGATTCGGGCTGAGACCAAGGGGGTGAGGTGGGGGGTTGAGAGGTAGATTTGTGTGTCGTCGGCATAGAGGTGGTAGTTGAAGCCGTGAGAGTGTATGACTTGGCCAAGGGAGGAGTATAGATGGAGAAGAGAAGGGGCCCAAGGACAGAGCCTTGAGGGACCCCAACAGAGAGGGGGAGTGAGGGGGAGGTGGTAGCATTATAGGTAACGCTGAAGGAGCGTTGTGACAGGTAGGATGAGAGCCAGGAGAGAGCAGAATCTCTGAGGCCGAGGGAGTGTAGTATTTTGAGGAGGAGGGGGTGGTTGACTGTGTCGAAGGCCGCAGAGAGGTCAAGGAGTAGGAGCACTGAATAGTGGCCATTAGCTTTGGCGGTTAGCAGGTCGTTGGAGAGTTTGAGTAAGGCGGTTTCGGTGGAGTGTAGGGGACGGAAGCCGGACTGTAGGGGATCGAGGAGGTTGTTGTCGTTGAGGTGAGAGCATAGGCGGGTGTAGACTAGGCGCTCGAGGAGTTTAGATGTAAATGGGAGCAGGGAGATGGGTCTGAGGTTGTTCGGGTCAATAGGGTCCAGGGAGGGCTTTTTAAGTATGGGGGTGATGTGTGCATGTTTCAGAGGGGAGGTGGGGGGGAAAGTGCCGGAGGAGAGGGAGAGATTGAAGATGTGGGTGAGGGAGCGTAGGATGGAGGGGGAAGGTGGTTGTAGGAGTTGTGAGGGGATAGGGTCGAGGGGGCAGGTGGTGAGGCGGGCATCAGAGAGGATCTTGGAGACTTCCTCGATGGTAGTAAGGTCAAAGGTGCGGAGTGTTGGGGGAGCTTCAGTATGAGGAATGTAGGGTGGGTTGGAAGAGGAGGTCAGAGCAGTGGTGGGGCCGTGGGAGAGGGGTGAGGAGGGGGTAGCTGAGTGAGGGTGAAGGGGGTTGGAGAGAGTTTGAGCAGTGACGAAGTCCCTGCGGGTTATGTCGAGGGGGAGGGGGGATAAGGGGGTAGCTGTGTGAGAGGGGACGGGTTGAGAGGGCGTGTGAGTTGCGGCAATGTCCTTGCGAATTGTGTCAATCTTGTTTTTGAAGTGATTGGCAATCTCAAGGGCAGTGAGTGAGGTGCTGGGTGGAGGTGGGGGTGGAGAGAGTAGAGAGTTGAAGGTGGAGAAGAGTCGGCGAGGATTGGAGGAGAGGGCCTTGATGAGGGTCAAGAAGTAGGCCTGTTTGGCAGCATGGAGGGAGGAGGTGTAGCTGTGGAAGGCAGATTTGTAGCGGGTGAAGGCTTGTTGGGATTTGGTTTTGCGCCATAGTCGCTCCAGGGCACGACTGTGTCGTTTGAGGGTTTTGGTGTGATCAGTCTGCCAAGGCTGGAGCGGTCGGGGTCTGATGTTGCGTGTGGTTAAAGGCGCTAGTGAGTCAAGGGCTGTTGAGAGCGTGTTGTTGTAGGCGGTCATAGCCAAGTCGGGGCAGGACAGGGGGAGGATGCTGTCATAGAGATGATCAGCTGCAGAGTGGAGGGGGGCAGGGTTAAGGCACGACAAAGCTGAGTTTCTGTGCTCACCAACCACCCCCCATAATCTGCAACAGGCAGATTCGTGCCCGTGGTACAGTTGACCCAACTTGTACTGTGGTGATACCACCTTCTGAATGCTACACATTCAGATCTAAGGAAACACCACAAAAGCCCTACAACTGCATGAAATACACGCAGTTGCAGCACATTTGTCAGCAGAAACAAATAGCATTAATTCCACAGAGATCCTTGGGGGCACTGATGCTGGGGGGTGAGGATTGGTGCTGGGAGGCACAGTTGACCCAACTTGTACTGTAGTGATGCCGCCTTCTGAACGCTACACATTCAAGTCCGAGGAAGCTAATGTTGGGGGGTGAGGATTGGTGCTTGGTGCTGGACGAGTGGTGAAGGCAGGGGATAGTGGGGGGCAGCACAGGAATTTTAGGCAGTGCAGGAGGGGAGGAAGCAGCTTGTGAGAGGTAGAAAAGTGGTGGCGGTATCGGGGGGGGGGGGGGGGGGGCATTTTAAATTAACAACTCTAATCAGTAGCTTTTTAGCCGCTAATCAAAGATATTCTTTTATTCAGCTGAGTCTGCTGAACATTTCTGCTATAAGTTCATGGTCACTGAAGTGAGGAATGTAGACCTGGCCTGCTGGAAGCAGTGATGTAAATCCATATACTGTATGGACCTGGCAGACAAAGTGTTAAAGTGGTCCCTGTTACTATGTAACAAAATGACACATTAGTGACATAGCAGGCGTCAGGAGCAACTATAGTGTCCAATAGAGAACACACTATCTGACTTGCCATGCATCCTAGACATTTTCAGTTGGCACACTACGGGTGAGACGATGGATTCACATTGGACGTTTTACATGATGTTTATTATATTATGTGACATGCTATGTAGCATATATACAACCCTGAGCACCTGAATGTCTGCTGTTCTATGCCCCATGTGAGGGCCATGTTTACTTGACGGGATTAAGGGCATCCCCATGCAGGCAGTCCCATTACTGTCAATTGGAACACAACAAGCTGTACGGACACCCTGGGTGCATTCAGGGGCACATGCCCTCACCTGCATGTCACATTGGGAGCAGCGGCTGCATCCATGTAGCTGCTATGTCCCAATTGAGAACCATGGGACTGCCTGCACAGCCATGCACAGAACACCTGTGCATCCCTCTTCGGGTAACCATAGCTCTCACATGGGGAATGGATTCATACGCCCCGTGTAAACAAGGCCTAAAAGTGGTTCTAAAGGTAGGGTTTTTTTTACCTTAATGCATTCTATGCTTTATTATTTATTTCTTTATTTCAGGTACTTATATAGCGCCGTCAATTTATGCAGCACTTTACATATATATTGTACATTCACATCAGTCCCTAACTCTCAAGGGGCGTACAATCTAAGGTCCCTAACTCACATTCATACATACACATATTAGGGACAATTTAGACAGGAGCCAATTAACCTATCAGCATGTCTTTGGAGTGTGGTAGGAAGCTGGAGTACCCGGAGGAAACCCACGCAGGCACAGGGAGACCATGCAAACTCCGGGCACATGGTGCCGTGGTTGGGATTCGAACCAACGACCCAAGTACTGCCAGGCGGAAGTGCTAACCACTTAGCCACTGTACTGCCCATTAAGGTGAAAACCCTTCTGTGTGCAGCCCCCTACCCCCAAGCCACCCCAATACATACCTCAGCCCAATCTTGATTCAGCACTGTGCACGAAAGCAGTAGCTCTCTCCGGTCTCTCTCTCTCTTCTCATTCGACAGAGAGGCAGCAGCAGGAGCCATTGGCTCAATCACAGCCAGTGAGGAGAGTGCAGGGGACAGGGCTGAGCCAAGCTTTGTGTGTCAATGGACACACAGAGCGCCGTTCTGGAACGAGCCCACAGGAGTACCCCCATAGCAACCAGCTTCCCATGGGGGCACTCAGCAGGGAGGAAGAGGCAGAAGCACTGGTGGGGGACCCCAGCAGAGGGAGGATCTGGGCTGCTCTGTGCAAAACCATTGCAGAGAGCAGGTGGGTATGACATGTTTGTTAATAAAAAAAAAAAAATACTTTAGAATTACATTAAATACTGAATACTTACATAGCAACAGGGTCACTTTAAATACTGAAACATTTTTTCACTGGTTCAACTCACCCATTTATTTCCATGTATGCAAAATGTGTTCATGCCAAGTTTTTTTTTAAATACAGATCCATCCACAGGAAACATTATCTGAGCAGAATCAACTCTAATCAACTTCAGACATGACACATCTGTGGTTACTTTTCATTGTGTCTTTAGTACAATGTGTGTTACTTTTCATTGATTTTACTAATTTGAACTAAGCTATAGGAGAAAGTATATAACAAGATATAATATCTCTTTGCAGGTGTGACATCAAAAGTCTCAATGGTGGAGTCTGGTCCTGGGACAGTGAAACCATCAGAGACTCTGGAACTGACCTGTAAAGTGACCGGAGCCTCCCTCACTGACAGCACTAACATGTATGGTGTGCAATGGATCCGGCAATCTGAAAGGGAACAGATGGAGTGGTTGGGAGCAATATGGCATGATGCAAGCACAGGTTATGCTAATTCTGTTAAGGGACGACTGACTCTGTCCAGAGACACAAATAAAAGGGAAGTGACTTTAAAACTCACTGGAATGAAACCTGAAGAATCCGGCACATATTATTGTACAAGATACGCACAGGGTATCATGTACTCTAACAACATGTACACAAACCGATTTACTTTTGAAAGAGACATGGTTATAGAAGAGCTTAATTACCAAGGGGGAATTCATGTTATTGCTGGCATTAGGGCAACTATTCCATTTTGCTTCTCTGAAATTTTGCAGACATATAATGCAAATTAATTGGAGTCAACAGGGATGGCGAAATATGGGGCAGGAGGTTTAAGGTAGTTTAAGCAGTCTTTAAGAATTCTAAAGCTTTTTAAATGGCTCCTTAGTATCTTTTATGTTCTAAATGTTCTGTATGTAAAAATGGCATCTACAATTGTCAGGAATTGACCTAGACTTAAAGTGGTTCTAAAGGCAGAAATGTTTTTACCCTAATACATTCTATGCATTAAGGTAAAAAACCTTCTGGGTGCAGCTCCCCCTCAGCCCACCTATACTTACCTCAGCCCCGTCTCGATCCAGCAATGTGCATGAGAGCAGGAGCTCTGCCCAGTCTCTCTCTCCTCATTGGCTCACACAGCAAAGAGAGCCATTGGCTCCTGCTGCTGTCAATCAGAGATAGTGAGCCGATGAGGAAAGAGCTGGGGCAGGGCTGAGACATGCTCTGGTTTTACGAATGAACAATATCCATTCCCAGAAGCACGGATTGGGTGTGAGCATGCCTGAGTGACCCATAGCAAGAGACTGGCGATTGTGGGCACTTGGTAGGGGGGAGGAGCCAGAACCACTGACGGGGGACCCAAAACAAAGAGGATTGGGGCTGCTCTGTGCAAAACCATTGCACAAAGCAGGTAAATATAAATTCCAATCTTTACAATCACTTTAAAGTGGAATTAAACTCTGCTATGTTATTTTAAATACATGGGCCCCCAGGAGGTTTGTACCATAATGTGCCAGTGTGCACAGCTTATTAACACACTTTGACAACACATTAGATTGTTCTGTCAGATCTCCCACTTATCACAGGGGATTCCATCTTCTACTGGTCTTCCTTCCAGGTTTACTCTGTTTGGCCACTTGAATGGTTGTGCTACGATGAGGTCATAGTTGCCAACATTGCAGAAAGGTTTTTTGGGGACACCCTATTTTGCTGTGTGTCCAGCAAGCCATTGTGGGCGGAAAATGTACTTTATTTCGGGTGGGCCATTCATTAAAATGGACATGGTTCTAGAAGAGGCATGGTTAACTTATTCATGTATTTGTTACAGCATGCATATATAACAAATACAATATATATATATATATATATATATATATTATGTAACAGGGTTAGCTCGGCAGCGGGTGTGTGTGACCCCCTGGATGGGTGCACAACACAAAAAAAGATAGGCACAGCACAACAATAGTGGAGGTGAAAACAAACAGGTGCAATTTATTTACAATATTTACAGAAAAAATGATAAACAAAAAAGAGACATCAAAATAAATCCTGGCCAACTTGGCTACTTACTGCAACAACAGCTTTTCCCTAGCTACCCACTAGGTACAGCCTGCTGCTATACCTAGTTGCTAGTACTGGGAGGTTAGCCACACAGGCTTTGGTCTCTCTGCACACAGATAACAGGTCAGCTCCCCAGACAGTTCAGGCACAGATCTGGTTCCAGGGTGGAGCAACTCCCTAAGCACTCTGGGAAGCTTTATACAAGTGTTAATGAGCCCACTACCTTCAGCTGGGCTCATTATCTCAGTGCTGAAAGACTCAGCACTTCCCTCTAGTGGTACAAATCCCCATAAACCCTGAATCTCGGACAAATATATCGTCCATCCAGGACGCAACCAGGTGATTTCACCTGCCTACTGTCACAATATATATATATATATTCCTGGAAATACATGCAGACAGGTAGCATTTCCCATTAAAAAGGGAGGTCATCAAGATTGTTAGAGCTGGCAAGCTATTTGTTCGCTACTTCTAAAAATGGCCCATGCTTGCAATTACAGTGAAAATTAACATTAAAGGCTGAATTAACTTTTTTGTTTCTAAAATCCAGCTCCCCTACGCACCAATATACCATTAATGTACCTCAGCTGCAAAAAAATACAAGTTCTCTTCAATTTTGAGAATAAGACCTTACCTTAGCCCTTGCTATATTTCTTAGAAAGCCTCACTTGCTGGCATGTAGATATAGGAAAGAGGAGCCAGTGAGCCCGGGTTCACACTGATGCAGTGCAGAATTCACATCGTTTTCAGTGCAAATTCCACACCGCATCAGATTCGCACCCTGTTCATGCGAACCGCTGCGGGTGTGTATGATAAGTTAACAACCCCCCCGAAAGCGGTCCGCAAAATGCGGTTCAATGTGCAGAATCATATCGCATAGTGTGTGAATACCCATGCAATTCGATTCCATTGCGGACCAAAAAAGGGTCCTGCACATTTTCGGTGCGGTGCGATTAGAGCCATACATGACATGCTGGCTTAGCCTTCCAGCGACCCACTGAGAACCTGAGCCAGCCGTTCCTGCTCCCTTCACAGATCAGCGCTCCAGGGAGTGAAGGAGGGGCAGAGAAAATAGCTGATGACTGACGGTTACTGCTCAGAGTGGAGGAAAGCACTGAGTGATAAGAGGTCTTTGATTTCTCAGTTCTCAGTCTTTTTTGGTCACAGGTGACCGCATTTATTGCCGACCCCTTTGACCTCTCTAATATTTGTGCCCTAAATGGTGTCTGTTGGGAATATTTGGAAATGTCTAAACACTTCCTTCATCTTCTGCTTTATTATGCTCATAAGACAGTTGTACTTAATTGGACCCGTTCTGAGACATTACATATTGGGTTATGGAAGAAGGTTATCAATCACACCTTACCTTTGTATAAATTAACATATGAAGCCAGAGGTTGTTCCAAAAAAGTTTTAGAATACCCAGGATACCAGTCACTCTCTATTATCTCTGATATAAGGAATTGGTTTGTTTTGTTCTTAGCCTAATGTTTATCCATATCTCAGCACTGGGACATTTATATTTATTTCTTGAATGCCATTTTGACCAATGACCTACTTCTCTTCTCAGGTATAGGTGACTGAACTTTTTCTGTTAATCTACTATACTGGGGTACTTGCCAAGTTTTTTTCTGCTTTTTTTTTCGTTTGTTTGTTTGTTTTTTTGTATCTATATTTTTTCTCTTCATTGTGCAGGATGGGTCTGCCAATTGATTGATGCTGAGTTGGAGTTACTAAAACTATGAGTAAATGGCTCCTTATGTTTCTATACTTGTACTGAATGTGCATCAGATACTACGGTCATGATTGTAACCAAAGGCGGACTGACAACTCATGGGGCCCCTGGGCAATAGGGGATCATGGGGCCCCTGTGCCCTAGCCCAAACTCAAACCACACCCAAAAAAGCCTATGAAAGGTACTAGGGGCATCTCATGGGGCCCCCTACTGACCCCGGGCCCTCGGGCAGTGCCTGAGTTCCCAAATGGTCAGTCCGCTCCTGATTGTAACACTTACAATGGGGTATATGACTCTATATTGTGTTTGTACTGTTGGAGATTGCATTCATCTTATGATGGTATCTGCTATATATGTACACTGACTGCTTGATTATTGCCATGTATACCTGATGTGCCTTTTACTGAATAAAACCAAGTTTTAAAAAAATGCACAAACTGCAGAATTTAACCTGTGATGGTACCATCTACCCCACTCAGTTTCCAAGAGCTTTTTGCTGAATGGAACTGAGGTGAAGGCTCTGTTCTGAGCTACAGATTATGTCTTCCCAGCTTTGCAGGGAATAGACTCTGCATTACACATACAGTAAGAGAGCTAAGAGCCATTAAAGCCAGGGGTGGACTGACCATTTGGAAACTCGGGCACTGCCCGAGGGCCCGGGGTCAGTAGGGGGCCCCATGAGATGACCCTGGTACCTTTTTCATAGGCTTTTTTGAGTTTGGGCAAAGACACAGGGGGCCAATGATCCCCTATTGGCCGGGGGCCCCATGAGTTGTCAGCCCGCCCCTGATTAAAGCCCAACCATAGGTTCCCTACCCCTCCACACACACATGCACACCCCACCTATTTCTCCCCCTCTAGGTCTGAAGGCCCTCATAACCAGTATTTTCTTTTTTTTTCAGAAGCCTTTAGCCAGGTCACATGACATGCAAGGTCCTTCGCCTCTTCGAAACGTCTTCAGCAGTAGGTGGCCCTCAATGATATAAAGTGCTGCTTTGACATAACAACAAGGTGTCTTAAACAAAATGGTGGCTGTCTGCACACAGATACAGACTTCGTTTTGCATAAATGTGATGATATAGATTCAGCTCTTGTTCTCCAGAGACAACTCCTCAGACACGTTTCACCCATCTTGGGGCTTAATTGTAGAGGCCTCTCTGTGTCTGTGTGCAGATGACCACGATTTGTTGAAGTCTACTGGAGCCTGACAAGCCAATTCATTCTGTTTTGCACCAGTCTTTTGACATGCTGATCTGCCTGTCACGGGTTTGGAGGGGCATTCAAGCAGTACTATTTTAATTGTTTTGGGCTACATAACAACAGGGTATCTTTCATATATTGAGTTAGAGACCGCTAAATGTCATTCAGCTCTGAAGATCAAGGGTATCTAGTGGTCTAGTGGGGGAAAGGTGTTATTTCTGAAGACAGCGCCAAAGATGTGTATTACAACCAAAGCTGCTTTTTTTTTTTTTGTGGTAATTTTTATTTTTTGGGGGTGGGGGGCACACATGTGTAGGTAAACTGTATCTATACAAATTAACACATTAATACAAAAAGAAAGTTCCCCTTGGGACTTTAATGCAGCTTGAAAAATATCATACATACATTGATGTAAAATAGAAATATATGCTTTATTATACAAAAATAATTTAGAATCATCGTGCATTTGTTAAAACCCATATGTTAGCTCTGACAGAATGATTAAACATAATAATAAATACATGTAGTGCCCCTAATAGCCACAACATGTTTCGATCATTCCAATCCAAGATGTTCTTCAGGGGCATAGAAAGAAATCTTTAAGTGAATCACAGCCATTCTGAGCAGGGAGTGGACAGTAAGTCACCGCTGTCTGCTCTGCTCTCACTGGAGTGCTGGGCTGTGGAGGGGGAGGGAATGGCTGGCTCAGGCTCTCAACAGATTGCTGAGAGATTGAGCCAGGTGCCACTCCAGACTCTGGGGTTGATCCCAACTTTGAAATCGGGATCTTTCTGGCTG